AATTATCATTTTGATCCGTACATTGGTAATGTCTGACTGGGCCTCGTGTCACTTTATGTTCAACAAATTGGGCCCCGAGGTCAAAAAGGTTAAGACCCCCTGCGGTAGACGGTAGAAACAGTATGAAGTTGGCCTACGGTAGAAATTTATCCTCTACGTTATCATACCTGTGTCAACACGGCTGTGAGTGCAGAGACACCTGAGCAGGAGTTCGAAATATAATGAAATATAGCATTTTAAAACACATTAAAGAGAATAAATCCTCAAAATTTACCCCTCCCGCTGTAGAAGTTACCACCCCCCCCCCCACCCCAACTCTCCTCCTGATCGTCGCGCAGAGTGAAGCTTTAACAACCGTAGTTTTTTCACGTTCAAGTTTTTGAAGAAAAAACTTGTTTTTTATGTATTGTTTCCCACAGAGATGATTAAAAAGATGTGTACGTTTGTTCAGTCATAAATCCATCTTGCTAATGTAACAGTTCTGCTCTGATGATGATGATGATGATGATGATGAAGATGAGCGCGCAGCAGAGCAGCAGCTGATCAGTTCAGCAGGCAGAAGCTCATTGTATGGCAGGCTGATATTAAAGCAAAAACGCTGGGTTTGATTATGATTAAAGTTTTCTGCAAAAAAAGCTCTAAAAATTACATTATCTTTACTTTTTATAATAGTTTTCTACATGATATATACCGTTACCGTGAAGGGATTCAATTTATACCCTGATATGAATTTGAGGTCATACCGCCCAACCCTAATTTCTAACCATAAAATTTCAATAACAGAATAAAACAAAAAACTCATTTCTACACACGATACAACTTTATCTCTCCAACAAACAAACCTTTATCGTTCTCTTAAACAATTTAAGTGAACCGGCCTTTTTAGCTTGGTGTTTAGTTTAAATATTTTTACCCAGGAACATGTTTGATGTTTTATAAACAAATAAAAGCAGGTAGCAGCTGTGAGATGATACAGCAGGTAAAATAAGTATTGAACACGTCAACATTTTTCTCAGTAAATATATTACTAGAGGTGCTAATGACATGAAATTTTCACCAGATGTTGGTAACAACCCAAGTGATCCATACATACAAAGAAATGAAGAAAGGGAGGTGTAAAAAGGCATAGAAAGCCAAGAC